TATTTTCTTAAAATTTCCCTATGGGGGTAGGCTAGAGAGATACTATAGTGGTAGGAAACTTGCACTGCACATAGTTGACCTGGGTTCAATCCCCGACACCACATATGGTCTCCCTACTCTTCCTTCTACACCTTACCCTGAGTGATCCCTGAGTGCAGAGCCAGGAGTAAGCCCTGAGCACCACTGATGTGGCCCAAAGGCAAAATTAAAAAATTATTTATTGGGTCCAGAGAGATAATACAGAGGTTAAGGTGCTTGATTGTTTGTGGCAAACCCCATTATAACCCCAGTACCACATATGGTCCTCTGAGTATCACCAGGTGTGATGTCAAAACAAACAGCAATAAACAATAATAGTCAAGGATATTGCCAGAGCTCTTTATAAGGATTGTGTTTCTAAATAAGTATTCTCTATTCCTTTAGGCGCAACCACAGCCTAGTGGCATAAAAAGGATTTTGGAACAATGTAATTTTTTAGCTTATTTATAGACTCATAACAAAAGTAAAGAAAAACAGGTGAAATTATTTTTTAAAATACAGTACTCAATTATATCTTTACACAATTTTGACATCATTAAAATATTACAGAGATATTTAACATTTTCTTCATGCAAAATCTTGAAATCTAGTAAACCTTGTATCTCAATTCAGACTGCCCACTCTTTTTATTTCCCCTCTTTTTGGGTCACACCTGGGAATGCTCAGGGGTTACTCCTGGCTCTGCACCTAGGAATTACTCCTGGTGGTGCTTGGAGGACAATATGGGATGCTGGGAATTGAACCTGGGTTGGCTGCATGCAAGGCAATCACCTTCCCCACTGTACTACCACCACACCCCCCCAGACTGCCCACTTTAAAGTGCTCAGTGTCTGTGAGTGGTTAGGGCTATGCATTATACCCTTCTTCTCAATTGCAACCTCTTCCAAGCTTTCTGAAAGTGCACATTTTTCTCTTGGATTTTTCTTTCTTGTTATAAGATGGGAGGTTCGTGTCCAATTGTGAGCTAAATATAAATAAACTAGACATTTAAATCTGAGTTATAGTACTCAAGGCAAGAGCTGAGTTGAATGTTTGGCTCATTCTAAAAGTGATTTACTTCATAGTTAACAGGACATTTATTTTTCTTGGATTGGTTTATTTATCTAGTTCAGTAAGTTGTGGTAAATTGTATTATCAGAGTGAGGGAGATTTGGTTTTTATTGCTCACTTTGCTAATAGAAAGGCTTGTTGCATTACATGAGAAATATTTAGGCATATCTTTAAAAAAAACTTTTGATTTATTTTTCTGGTTCAGTAAATATTGTTCCCAGAGAGCATAATCACATTGTCTGCAAGGATGGTTTTGATGATAAGACTTTGCTAACTGAATAGAAGGACACATGCTTACAAGAATGCCTTAAGATAAATTATCAAGAATATTATTGAAAGCGTTGTTTAAAACAGAACCCCATGTTGTAGAGCTGGGGAAATAGCAGAAGTGGTAGAGCACATGCCTTAGTGTGTGAGGTACTGAGTTTGATCCCTGGCACAGCACGAGCCCAGAGCACTATAGGATGTAGCTTCAGTGACCTCTGGGCCTCATGAGGCCTTATTCTGAACATCAGGTCTGCACTGGAGGCCAGCACCGCTGAGGATGACCTCTCCAATTCCAAATGAAATGCACTGAAATGTCATCAATAGTTATTATTCAGAAGGAAATTTCTGTGTAGTAAGAGGTACCAAACAGGGGATGGCACATAGTACACTGCACAGGGCTCTTACCTTGCAAGCTGCCGACCCAGATTCCATCCCCGGCATCCTTATGGTCCTCCAGAGCATCCCCACCAGTGATCCCAGAGCAAAGAGCCAGGGTTAGCCCAAGAACTACTAGGATTGGCCCCCAAAGTATAATACATAAAGAAAAGTACTAAGGTTATCTTTCCTGTGGAAATTTCATCACTTATCTTGACTTTTAAAAAATAATAGTTTGTTATCCATTTTGAAAAGCCAGTCTCATTTATTGTTAGGTTACATGATGCATAACCACACACAATTCTTTTTATAGTTTGTCTGGGGGAACTTTTGGCTGAATTTATGCTTCATGGCTAAATCTGTAAATAATTCTAATATTCCCAGACCGTATTTTTCTAATCTGTAAATGAGGAAGGCTAACGAGATAAAAACCAATGAGCAAACATATGCCAAGCTGTCACTGATTCGAGCACGTCACCACCTTAATTAACAATCCTCATTACTCCCACTTACCATGATGTAGCTATTATCATATCTCCATTTTACATGAGAAGGTGGAATTATTCCAAACCACAATCCAATGGTTAGGGAGGGAGGGTAGCAGAAACCCAGAATAGAGCTCCTGGCAGAAATTTACCTGATACTTTAGGTAACAGCTTTGATTAAGCCACTAGAGACTTAATCAAAGTGGGGGCTGGCCACACCCGATGATGCTCGGGGCTCACTCTTGTTCTGTGTCAGGGATCATGCCTGGCTATGCTCAGGGTGATCATATGTGGTGCTGGGGATTTGAACCAAGGTTGACTGCATGCAAGACAATACCCTGTACTCTCTGCTCCCAAGAGACTTACAAGATAAAATTCCCTAAATAAATAAAGTCCCTTTTTGTGTTTAAAGGTCATTATAGAGGCTCAGAGGATATCAGACATCTGTATGCTATTTCATAAATACACTGTTGACTTCAATGAAAAAAGCCAGGACTGTGGGATACTCTCTTATAAAAGTACCGAGGTTGTTTTTCTGAAACCCAACGGAAGGGTTACATTCAACTGAGAATTTGACTAATTGCCTTCAACTCCTTATCACTTGGGTTATTTCTGCTTTTTTGGGGTGTGGGTTATATCCTGGGTCCTCAAGGGCTACGCCTGACTTGTTGCTAGAGCATTGGTGGTACTCAGGAATTGAACCTAGGGATGCTGCCTATGAAGGATGTGCTTAGTCTATTGTGCTATCTTTCAGCCCCAGCTGGCAAATGCCTGATTGAAGAATAGTTTCCTGTGGGGGAGGAGGGAAAGAGAGAGAGAGTGAGAGAGAGAGAGAGAGAGAGAGAGAGAGAGAGAGAGAGAGAGAGAGAGAGAGAGGAGAGAAGAGAGAAGAAAGAGAAGAGAGAGGAAAGGAGATACAGAGGGAGAGAGGGAGAGAGACAGAGGAGAGAGGAGAGGAGAGAGAAGGAGAGAGAGAGAGTGAGGACTGAAATAGAGGCAATAAAGATGTGAAGGAAGCTTTTGTTAGTTTGTTTGCAAGCTGAGATGATGCTGGCTGAAATAGTTCAAGTACTCCTATGCTGCCCTTGGGGTTAAACTGGTTTCCAGAGGACCCAGGAGAAAGCTTGACGTGTTTATTTTGGTAGAGGTGTTAAAACTTCTTAGGAGAAGGCAAAGTGCCTGAATGAAAAGATTACCACCCAAAGTGATCTAAATGACTAAGCCCCAAGGCAAGAAGCTTCTCTGCTGTTTGCCCACAATTACTGAGCTGAGATGATTTTTTTTTCAGCAAGTAAAAGCGATTGATCAAACTTTCCAGAGAATACTTGGACTCACTAAACAGATTGAGGGCAAGATTTAAGTGAATCTTTCTCTTGGCTTTAAAAAGTATATATTAGGCTTTTAAAAAGCAACATATGGGCTGAAGATATAACCAATGGGCTGAAGCACAAGCTTTGCATGCAGGAGGTCCAAGTTTAATCTCAGCATCACATGGTTTCCTGAGCAATGCAAGGAGCTATACCCGAACACAAAGCCAGGAGTAGATTCTGAGCATTACTGCGTGTAGCCCCCGTGTGTGTGTGTGTGTGTGTGTGTGTGTGTGTGTGTGTGTGTGAGTGTGTGGTGTATGCTCAAAGCTTGTGCCACACTCTCTGTGCTTAGGGATCTTACCTAAGGGATTGAGCCAGAGTCATTCAAGTGCAAGGTGAGCACCTTAACCCATGTACTATCTTTCCCACCCTAAAAATGGTTTTTTAAATTGTTCCTACTTTTTAATTATACATTTCAGAAACACCACAATATAGTATGTTACTTAGAGCAAATGGGATTGCATCAGAATGAATGATGGGACTTCTTAATCAAGGAAAATGAGGTCCTGAAAAGTTTGGTTCCTGTGGCTGGAGTAATAGAACGGTGGGCAGGGCAATTGCTTTGCACATGGCAGACCCAGGTTCGATCCCTGGCATCCCATATGGTCCCCCAAGCACCATCAGAAGTAATACCTGAATGCAGAGCCAGAAGTAAGGCCTGAGCATTGCTGTATGTGGCACCCAAATAAACCCCCCCCCAAAAAAAAAACCAACTCAAACAAAAAAAGTTTCATTTCTTATGCCCGGTTCCACAAAACTGTTCACTTGCTTACTATCTCCTCACTTAAGACACCAGAGTTTATTGGCATAAGAGAGCCTTTATTCTAGGTCCTGTAAGAATAGGTTTTCAAAAACATCATTTCTATCTAAAATTGACCCCACACGGGGGCACATGAGGTCACATGAAAGAGGGCTACGGAGTGTGGTGGCCAATCATTTCCTTTCATCCTTTCCATGGGGGACAAGTGCCTCCTCCCCTTCCCAAACCCTCTTCTATCTGTCTAGCCCAGTATCCCCACAGCTCTTGGTGGATCTATGACTGGGTAAATGGAGAAATATTTCCATAGAAGAATCAAGGGTTTCAAATGTTTATAAAATTCTTTATGATTTATTATATTTGATTTGGATAATTATATATCTGGGCGCCCATGAACAATTCCTAGACGAAAAGGCATCATGAGTAGGAAAAGTTTAGGCGACCCTGTTACAGAGTACTGGTTTTCAAATGGTAGAAGCGTAGAGGCTGAAAAATCACTGGCACACAAGCAAGGCAATTGGGTAGGGGTGGGGAGGGAAGAGGAATCACGTTCCTATTTTTGAGTGTCTCTGTGAATGAGGGGACAGAAAAATCACCATGCACCTGACAGTTTCAAAATCGTTTGTGATTGCATCTTCTCCCTCCTCCTGTTATTAGATCTCAGTCTGTGGTAGAAGCTGGGACCTTGAAGCACGAGGAGAAGGGAGAGAATGAGAACACGCAGCCGCTGCTGGCTCTGGACTGAACCCAAGTCGCCCTTTGCTCCTGCACATCGCCAACCTTCAGTGGTGTCAGCCACCCTGGAAGCACATGCGCCATTGACCTACATAGACACGTGCGTTCAGCTTGACACCGGTCCTCACTTCTGCCACCCAGTAAAGACTGTCACCAGCTATTGGTCTGAGCAGCCAAATAAAGACTTGAGAGAGGTTTTTTCCCCCCACCCTCCTCCAGTAGGGGACTGGAGGATGAGCAAGGAAGGTATTTATGTAAACAAGATTCCCTCCTCCTCCCATATTTATGGTACTACATGAACTGAAAAAAAAAAAGAAAAACTAAATCTGATGCGTACACTGCATTAAGACAAGGATTTTCTTGAGGCACCACAGAGGCCCTCTCCAGTTTTGCAATTTAAGATTAAGTGCATTTCCAAGTTGATATCTTAGAATTAAGCTGTGCAGACATGATTGTCAAGTTTCAATGTAGTGCAAAGCCCCAAGATAATAGTATCTTCAGTGATTTCCATTCTCATTAAATTATTTTCTTTGACCTCATCACCAGCATCAAATTGATCAGCCTAAAAGCATGTTCTCGTAGGTCTGCCTATTTGCAGAGTTTGCTTCTTTTGATATCCTGCAAAAATGGTTTTGACATCCCCTCTTTTGTCAGACCACCAGCTGATAATTATGAGCTGTCTTGAAAAGACACACAACGTGAAAAATGATGATTTTATTGTAACAGTGTGACTTTCCTATAGCCAACGTGCGTCTGCAGGGGTGGGGGATGGACCACTAAAAACACATGTCAGTGATTAATGAATCCATTCAAGTTGCCTCACTTGGGTCACTACAGCCAAGAAAAGTGCTCGGAAAGCATTTAACCCCCCACCCTCTTGCAACCACTCAACAATGTGGAGAAAGGGTCTGGCTGAAAGGGTAGGTATTAATTATGGGGGAAGGTCCTAAAGGATGGTGAAATATGCAAGTGCTGAAAATAAGACTAAGAATGCAGGATGAAATGCCAAAGATCATTTTATTTCTGTGTCTATTCTCCTTAGAAATGGAGACCCCAAATATTCAAAGGAAATTAAATTTAAAATGAGCAGATATCCTAGGATATTATATCCTTAGAGTGTCATGTTTCCCCAAAAACAGTTGTATTTTTTTTAAGATGCTTATTATTCCCCCATCCATCTGCATGATATGGTATTTGTTAGTATGACCAGTTGGTGCTCAATGTCAAATCAAATTTTTAATTGAAAATGGACAGTAAAATGTGACTTTACATTGTAACAAGATTTGTTAAATATTTAACAAGAATTTGTTACCAAAAAAATTCAAAAGAAAGAGGTGATTTTACTGATCTTAGTCATCCTCAATATCTATTTAAATAATTATCTATTAAAATTAGTATTAAACATTTACTGCCTCTTTCTCAATGAATCTAGCTTTTTTTCTGGTGCAGAAAAATAACAATTAAATTTTGTTATCCAACCCTTGAAATAAAATTGAAACTACTAAAAATATTTCTAAAACAATTGTATCACAGTATAAAGCTTATTTATTTGTGTCAAATAACAAAATAATAACACTGAATGAATTCTACCAGTGCAGTGAAACATCACTTGTATACTATCACATAGGGAAGAAAAACATAGAATTAAAGTGAATCAGGTAATTCATTTTATTACTTGGATTTGAAAAAGTTGTGGGATCCAAGTATGTAAAATACTATTAAAGTCAATTAGTGCCAACACTTTGCAACAGTAATAATAATAATTCTAGCTTTTCAATTGACAATAGAATTCTACTGTAGTGACCTGATTTTAAATATCATGCTACAATTACTAAGTTAAAAGCTAGTTTTAATTTTATTCCATGATTTTATCAAATGAATGTATGATGGTTCAACAATGACAACTTGTACTATTAATTTCTTCATGTGTATGCAATATACATACAAGAACCAAATTCAACACGTGACATGAATGTTACCACCCGAGCATTGGATTGTAATGTCCTTTTGTTGGTCATTTCTTTTGTTCAATAAATACTGAAGGACATAAATATCTCCTTGTTCTGCAAGAGTCTCCCTTTTCTTTTGGACTTTGTAAGTTTAATATGTTTCTTTCAGATGCTTCTTAGCTTATTTTAGTGGGATTTTTGAATACTGTCATAACAGCAATAAAACAAACTGCAAACACTACTAGTAAAATTGAATGTCCTCAAAAGCAGGCAAAAATGGTCCATATCAATTTTAAAGAACTACTTTTATAATCATATAAATGACTGCCTTTGTATTTAGAAAAAAACCGAAAGTACATTTTAAAATAAATCTATGAATGAAGTTTGGTAATTAACCTATGCATTATTTACTCAACATTTTTGTTCATTTGGCTTAAAGTTCAGTGCATGAATATTATTACATTCTCACTGCTAACAAATCTAGTTAGCTCTGATTTAAACATGTAATGCATTAATACCTGTTAAGCTAAACTTTGGCATGAATATGCATTGCCCATTTTTTAATTGTTATTTTCATGCTAGGTTTAACAGTAAAACTAAATCATGATAAAAAACATCTATTGTAAAGTGATATTTAAGTGACAGAAGCTTCTAAAGCCAGAGAGATTATAAGAGTCTTCTGAAATCTTTCCAAGTGGAAATCAACCTAGATATCCTAGATCTCCTATATCCACATCAATTTCAGGACAAAGATCCTGGCATTCTTGGCTTCTACTCTACCATTCTTCATAGTTTTATTGTGATGGTCAATCTACTCAAGAAGCTCCTTACTCACACAGGTAATAGGCAAAGATATTCTAGATTTTAGTTTTATCTCATTCACAGATAGCAAAATGAGATACTCATCTGATCCCAACCAATTACTGTTACTTTAAGAAATTTCACTTTTACCCCCCAAGCCTTAATACATGCGTTAAAAAAAAATTTACATGTGAACTTCTCATTACTCAGTATACAATGACTTCATGTCTACTATAAAATTTTTTGTTTAGAAACAAAGGTAATTTTTATAGGTAAAGGTAAAGGTAAAGGCCCTCCCGTTGATCGTCGATTTGCTCGAGCGGGCCCAGTAACGTCTCCATTGGAGACTTTGTTGTTACTGTGTCTGGCATATCGAATACTCTCGGTAGCTTGCCGGGCTCTCCGAGAGGGGCGGAGGAATCGAACTCGGGTCGGCCATGTTGGCCGCTTGTAAGGCGAACGCCCTACCCGCTGTGCTATCGCTCCAGCCCACATAATGCCTGCACTATTGACATAGTAAGGAGAGAAATTAAGACTATTTCAATGAAAATAATAATAATAATAATAATGATAAAACAAAGAGAACTGAGTGGTACATTCACAGATACTGGCATAATTCCATCTTTGTCCTTTGTATAAAGAAAATAAAACTGCTTTTATCATGAATGCATTTTACTAACAATAATTAGAACTGCATAGAAAGATTGCAAACTAAATAATCTATTCACAGTTTCTACATATATTTTCTTTGTACACTGATTTAGTCCTTGTGTATCGGGAAAGGTATCTTTGGCTGGCAAGGAAGAAACTACATGTTCACCTGAAATACAGACATCAGACTGGTGCTCTCTGGCATGAAATACAGCTGGGAATTTTCTAAATGAATTGCATTCAGGCAAATATTCCTTAGTGTCTTCTAGCCCTCGGAGGAAATTTAGAGTTTATTAGGCTACAAGTTGAGGGAATTAAGGACCTTGGTATTCAACCTTCTATCCCGCTTTGTAAGAATCCAAAAGACAGCCTCTCTGTTGCATGTTCTGAGCCTACAGAACACATTAAATTGCAGGAAGGTTTCGTCGCTGCTGGGCTGTCAGTTCTGGGTGCCACACGTCCACGATGAATATCAGCCGGAAAGATGTGGCATCCTGCCACACCTCATGCTCAAAGGAGTCGTCAAAGATGAGCACCTTGCCTTCTTCCCACGTCCTGAAACAGAAACAAGAAACACACAGTCCTTGGGTTGCAATGTCTGAGGATCAACTCACATCTTGACAAGGGAGGCATGTCAGGAACCCTCTGGAATAGGAATAGCTAACTGAAACCTCAATCCAGGGTTTGTTTATTCAGTCCTTGGGGATTAAGAATTTCCAGATTCTTCACATAAGCATTGGTTTCCAGTGCTTGGAATTGTAAATGTGTAAAAGATGGAGGTCGGGGAATTGGTGATAACGCAATCGTGATCTCATCAAGGGCCCTGTGATAATTCTTGGTCCAACCCTGGTGAGGCTTGTGGAGTTGGATTACGACTCAAATCTGTGCCTGCGTCTAGGGTCACTTCTTCATCCTTAGCTCCACAGCTATCCATCGGTCTTTCTGAGCCAGTTTAGGTCTGCATGCTGAGAGATAGGAGGTATTGCTATGTCCCAAAAGAATACCTGGCACGGTGGCCATACATCTCAAAATGGCTCTATTTTCAACCCATTCCTTTTGTTCATTCCATTTTACGGAAGAAAGGAGGTTTGGAAATAATAGTTCTTTACTTAAACTCAGTGACTATAAAGAGGACAAATTGGATATTTCCCTACTTAATGTTCTGATGGAGAAAAATATGTTGGTAATCAATGTTGTTTAGATACATCTGGTTTTTTTTTGGGGGGGGCGGTCTATATTCAGCAGTGCTCAGGGGCTACTCATGACATCGTGCTGAGGTGCTGAGGATGCTCTTGGTTTGCTCAACAGATAGTCCAGTGCCAGGGATAGAACCTGGGATTCCACATGCAAAGCACACACCCTAGTCCTCTGAGCTGTCTCCCTAGCCCTCGTCATTTATATATTTAATATCATCTACTAAGCAAGTGCATTAGCTGTGGACTATTTAAAAGCAATAAAGCAAATCATCTTTCATAGTCTCTGGCACTCTTTATAAGATCTCTGAAAAGGAGCTAAATTCTGAGTATCGTGTCAGCATAAATAAAGCAATCAAGAAAATATGCAGAGACACATTAACTTTAAAATCTAAAGAAAGTTTAATAACAGTGCTTATATTCTCTTAAAACACACATAATTGCCAATATATTAAATGTTATGTGTTTCAAATGAAGTGTTACTACAAAATTTCTTTTAAAGAAATTCTACTTAAGCATTTGAAACTTTATATGCAGGATGAGTATATAGCTGAAATTAGGGTTTGGAAAATGTTAGCTTAATTTCAAATTTCACTGCCTTAAGGACGCTTCCTGAGGAAAATGATGTATATCTTTTATGTTCATCAATGGGTGATTAAACAATATGAAATAGAAGAAATATTGCAGGATTTCTCAACCATGACACTGTTGAAATTTTGGCATGGTAATGTTGACTGAAAGAGGAACTAAACTATATTCTGTATATTTTTAACAACATCTCTGGCTCCTTCACACTAGATGCTAGCGGTCCCACCAGTCATACTTATCAAAAAATGTCTCCACTCATGATCAAATGACCTGGAGGGGTGAAGGCAAATTGGCAACTGATAAAATAATGAAAATCTGTCACTTTGCCAGCTTTGCTATCTATCTCCCCTCAGGGCTTCGTATGCCATTGTACAAACACAACCAAGTGCTTGCACTTCACATTTCTCTGGGACGATTCCTCTGAAGGTTGAAATAATTGGAATTCAGTAATTATTACTGATGTCCAAACATCAGTAAGAACAGAAATATGGACTGAAGAACACAAGGCATTTTGTTTGGTTTACTATGCAGACTCTCCTGCCCCCATGACAGGCTCTCTTCACCAGGGCCCCTAGGACGGGGTCGTGTTGAGTCTCCCTCCCTGCCCCAAGCAGAACTCCAGAAGCCGAAAACCTCCAGAACCCAGCCACAGCCATGCTCAAGACCACTCTCCACACGTTCTAATGAGCCTAACACATGAAGGAACCGGCAGAGGAGCAAGGTGTGCGGGACCCGGGGCTGAGATCTCCAAGCCTGCTCGGATCGGGACTGGGCTTCCTCCACCCAGAACCCCAGTATTCCAGTAGCTTGGCAGTTTATACCCACAAACTGCCCCCAGAGCCATGTAATCTCATTAACGGCCAAGATTCAGAGACTATAAACCAAAGCTTCGAAAGAGAGCAATGCAGTATTTCCTGGAGCACGCAGCCTCTCACATTCTAGTCCACTGATGTACCATCCAGTCCACACAGCAGAGCCTGGTAAGCTATCCGTGGCATATTCGATATGCCAAAAAGAGTCACAATAATGGGCCTTATTCCCCTGACCCTGAAAGAGCCCCCAATACAGCCATTGGGAAAGATGAGTAAGGAGAGTCTGCTAAAATCTCAGGGCTGGGATGAATGGAGACGTTACTGGCTCCTGCTCGAGCAAATCGATGAACAATGGGGCGACAGTGCTACAAGTGCTACTATGAAGAACCAAACTGCAAAGAAAAGCAAAGCTAAAGGGCCAGATTGACATCAGATATCCTTGTATCTGGCCTGCACTGGTTTGATCTTTGGTACCACATATGGTCCCATAAGCAACACCAGGAATGATTCCTGAACTTCACTTAAAATCACTTAATCACTTAACTTCCCGTTAGTCATCGATTTGCTCGAGCAGGGTGCCAGTAACGTCTCCATTTGTGCCTGTCGCGAGCTAGTGTAGCCCAATGGCATCTCTTCGCTCCGGGAACATGAAGGGCCTCAAACCGATTGTTCATGATATTGACGAAGAAGTCTGACCATCTGGTAGGTGGGCGGCCACGCGGTCTTTTGACATCCCGTGGAATCCAGTCAGTAACAGCTCTAGTCCAACGGTCGTCTTTAAATCTCATTACGTGACCAGCCCATCTGATTTTAGACACCTTGGCAAATGAGACAGCGTCCCTGATCCTTGATCGTCGACGGATGTCAGAACTCCGGATTCTTTCTCTCATTTGAGTGAAATGTGATATGGAAACGTCCAAGGTCTCCAAACGTGATATTCCAAGCATAGCTCTTTCCTGAACTTCAAGCCAGGAGTAATCCCTCAACACCACCAGGTGTGGCCAAAGAAAATGAAATAATTCATAGCCTATAGTTAGGGGGAGTCCATTTAAAAGGGAAGGGGCAATCTGCTCAGAGCAACGGTATTCACAGTAACAAGATGGAAGTAACCGGAGTGCCCACTGATGGAGAAACAAAATGTGGAATTAGAACTGCCACAGAATACTAGTGAGCCTTAAATGTGAATATTCTGACATATGCCACAGTATGATGAACCTTTGTGATTCACATACACAAAGTAAGAGAAGCCAGTCATTGAAAGGCAATAGTATATAATTTTACTGTATGTGGCACGGAGAGCCTTAAATTCATAGGGGGAGAAAGTAGAATGATGGTATAGAATAGGGTGTTATTGCTGGGTGGGTACAGTTTCAGTTTTATAAGCTGAAGAGTTCCATAGATGTTTGGTGGTGATAGTGGCCCCATATAAAGGTACTCATGCTACTATGGACATTTAAAAATGGTAAAGACAGAAAATACTATTTGCATTTTACACAGTGTTATGTATATTTTACTACTATTAAAAAAGGGGGAGGGAAGGAGGGAAGGAGGAGCTTGGGAAAGTAAGGCTTTGGAAGGGAAGAATATTTAAACCTCTTGGCTCTGCCATTTATTAATTCCTGACCTCAGGCATGTTATAAACATAGCTGGAACTTTGTGTTCATCTGCATATTTGACAGTGAGGATTGGCATAGATTTGACACACAACAGACATTCAATTAAAGGGTAGCAAATATGAAAGAGAGGGCAGGGAGATTATTTAAAAAAAAGCAAGGAAAAGATAAAAGAGGTAATAGTGCTGGGAAGTGACAAGTTAGCAGAGATAACTTTAGCTTTCATTTGTGCTTTCTCAAATCTTCCAAAAGAGTGAGATAGCAAAAATCTTCAAGAGAATCTTTAAGATATATTTTATGCTACAATGACAAGTGATTCTCAACAATTTGGCTGGCAGCGAACCTGGAAACTAAAGGACTGATAGCAATCAGAATAATTAAATAGAAAACTCTAGTATATGCACATCTCTGTTCAGTGCAGCACTTTTTATTTCCAGCTTTGATCTGGAAACTGCCTAAGTGTCCAACAACAGAGAGAGAAATGGTAGAATCCCACAGTGGAGTACTACTCAGCTTTTAGAAAATGTACATTTCTGCATTTTGCTGCAACATGATGAAACTGCCAGGGTTTATGTTAAGTGAAATAAGTCAGAAGAAGAAAACAAGTATCACTGCCTGTGACATACAGAGAAACAAAGCAAGGGAAGTGACAATGATGTCCACTGGAAACAAGAGCCCTGGCTCTGACCACAGAATTAAGGTTAGTTTTCTAAGAATGCAAGGACAAGGGAAGGGTCTAATGGACTATGGTGGAAGGATAATGACTAGTGGTGGAAGAAGGGTGGGAATATTTACTCCTGATACACATAAACACTTATTATCATATAAACCAATGTTAACTCAATTAAAGGGCCACTGATTTGGCTCAAGTAGTAGGGCTCAAGTCTTGTAAGTGTGATATTGTGGGTTTGGTCTCCAGCACTATTATAGTCCTTGAGCCCTGCAACAATACAGACAAAATAAATTTGTTTTTAAAAAAAGCTTAGGATTGGAGAGTGCACACAGGTTATGGTACTTGCCTTGCAAATGACCAACCCTGGTTTGATCCTGGTACTGCCTGGTTCCCTGAGAAGAACTGGAAGTGACCCCTAATCAGACAGCCAAGAGTGACCCCCTTATATCACAAGTGTGGCTAAATACCCCCAAAACAACAAAAAGAAAAAAAAAGAAAAAATTCTATGCCACTCAAAATAATATTTTTTCACTAGATGATGATACTAGAAGAAAGTCAAAGATTTAGGAAATGCTCTATGAGAGAAAAGTCTTAAATATTCTATTCATTAATATAAATTCCTTACAAATTAGAAAAGTTCCTAGCACTGGGGCATACCACTTCATTTACAGAACAC